AGAACCCTGGCTAGTACAATCTTTAATTTAATATATTATATTTATTATTTATTAAATTATTATTAGTGTTAATATTAAATTTAGTAAATTTTTTACTTATTAATTAATAAATATAAATTTAAAAAATAAATAAAATATTAAAAAATTTAAGTTGATCCTTTAAAAAAAATAAAATAAAATATTAAAAATTTTTATAAGTTCTTTAAAATCTGCATCCATTCAATCTAATCCAAAACCTGTATGGAATAAAAAATCCAAAATGATTTAACCCTATAAATAAATTAAAAGAAAAGGAACAGTAGAGGAGACTCAGGAGAAGAGAGAGAAACAGAAGATGTCGCACAACGGGGGGAATTCGACGTCGGCTAATGATCCGAGGCAGCCGTCAGCGGCGAAACCCTTTGTTTCACAGCCGGTGTCGCCGCAAGATCTTCCCGTCGATTACTCTGGTTTCATCGCCGTCGTTTTTGGCGTCGCTGGCGTCCTGTTCAGAGTACTTCCTTGATCTACGTTTCCTACATAGATAACTGCGGTTTTATTTTCTGAGATCTGAATATTTAGTGGAAATTCTCATATGATCCTTCTTTCTGTTTTCATCAATGAATTTTCAGTACAAACTGAGCTCCTGGCTTGCTATCATATTTTGCGCTCAGTCTCTGGCCAACATGAGGAACCTTGAGAACGATCTCAAGCAGATCTCGATGGCTATGATGTAAGTTCTACAATTTTCTTCGTTTTTGAAATTCAGGTCGTCTTTGATGTGATTACCATTATTTATTATAGGTGTGAATCACCATTAGTTATTGTAGTTAGTGCGAAGAGGGAGTAATTGTAGCTAAGATTCTAGTAATGTAAAATTGCTTTACTGAATCCTACGACAACTGGAGTTAGATGTGAATCGTAAGAGTAAGGTGGTTGTTATTTTCTACTGGTAGTGCTGTTGATTTGGTTATGATATTCTTGGATTGATGATGCTTAAGGATTTCCAAAGATGTGGTGAGATGGGTGGTATATGAGCACATTTATGGTTGTCGCTGGATCAATGAATATCTGATTGTTGGGCAGTGAAGATCCATGTGATGCTTGTTAGAAATAAAAATCAAGTGGGAATAACCTTATAAGTCATGATGTTTGGTTGTACTTGTACGTTATCTGTGTCTGGTGGTATGTAGAAACATGCTAGACGAATGGTCCTATTTATTATGGCTTTGAGGAAGAGCATGGTATGCTAATTTGATTGAAGAGGGCTGAAAGAAAGGTCATTGACTCATTGTAGTGGAATCTATATAGCTGATTTTGATTGAATACGTTACTAGCCTCCATTTAGGATTCCATCATTGATTTTTCACTTGATTATTTGGGCAATAGATGAAGTCTTGAGCAAAGTGTCTATTGGTTGCTGTAGTGCAATTTCACACCAACTACTACTTGTGGCTTGTTTCCGTGCTTTTAACCACATTATTTCTCGTTTGTGCATATGGTGTTTCAAGAGTGCTTAGTAAAGAATTAGGTCATTGCCTGCTCAAACTTTATGATACTCCAGAGTCATATAGAATTGTTTAGGTCGTCCTGCTCAACTTTGACCACAGGACCTGCTGGTTATGTAACAGCTGGTCTTAAGTATAGTGTGCTTCTTACTTTTGCATTTCTGTTTTAACTTACTGCAATCTTGATTGTTCTGTGATTATTTCCTCTTTGCTTTCTTTTGGGTACTTGACCTGCACTAGCCTTTTTTCCACCCTTCATTTGTTAGAACAAAGAAATATAAATGAGTGTGCTTCTTTGGTTGGTCAGTTTGATAAAGCTTAATGATATCAAGTTACTAACTCTCCAATGTACCAAAAAAGCTATTTATTTTTTTACTTTACTGGGGATTTAATATCCCACTTTCTGTCCTGGTTTATTCATTGAAAATTTCATTTGTCCTATTTCACATTTGTCCTAGGAATCTAGCTTGTTATCATTTGAAATATATATTATCTCACATAAATATATATTCAACCATATATTTAATCTATTTTCTTTGTTTTCTTAATTAATTTCTTGTAATGAAACAGGTTTGCTATCATGGGATTGGTAACAAATTACTTGGGCCCTGCTCGACCAGGCAAACAAAGTTAAAGATCTCAGATCATAAAGTTGAGATTTTCTTACAGTATGCTGGCTTTCTTTTTTAGATTAAGAATAACTGTTCTGTTTGGTTGTATTCCTTTTTGTATGGGGAAGGATTTGGCTTCTCCTCACATTATTTCAAAGAAGTTCATTTAATCTGACTAAGATGTTGCTTATATTATGCATCATGATCATGAAAGTAGTGAATTAACTGAAAGATTATCAAATTGGCATCACTAATTGCAACATTTGGTGGTGAAACAGCACGTTAATAGCTGTGTTATAACTTATTTTAATGGTAATAATTGATGCATATTTTTATTGTAGGGATGATACATGATTGTACGTCTTATGTCTTT